TTAACGTTTGGTATGTGTATAATAAGTCTAATTTACTGTAAGAATTTTTGTGTGATTACTGTTATTTTTTTGTGTTCTTGATGAACACATGGTGCTAATGTTACACATTTTATTAGCACTGACAGTACTATTTTTAGACCATTTTTTAAAGAAGAATTTGGGTAGACAGTTGACATGCAACCTTTGTAAGTTTTGACGGTGTTGAATTTTTTATTGGCAATTATGGTATTCGTTGAATAGTAATTATTGTAGATGAAACATGCTGTTACGTAATTTTATGACTGGGAAGACTTGGCTGATATTGGTACCAGATGTACATTATCAGGCCTTGTGGTATAAAATTATGTGTGACTGACTGATATTTATCTTTATTGATGGCCATTTATTTGTAGTCGAAAGGCGTGATTTGTCCATTTTGGTTAACTACCCTTTAAAGATAAGTACGTGTTTATACCTGGTTTCAGTAGATGTTCATTTTTGAGACATTTCAGTATGCTCATTGATGTTTTTGCCTTCAGTGGCCTTTACTGTAAATTAGAGGTATGTGTTGTGTCAGTAGGGGAACAGTAAAGTAGAATGTTTATCTCAATTAGTTGCCATGGTTAAGTTGATTGCGGGGACGCAATCATTTTTGCGGGGGAAGCGTGTTGGCTGGTACCAAATTGTTGATTCTTAAGTAAGCATGTTGGCTGGTAATATATTGTTTATTTTTAAGTAAAATGGTAACTTGGGTGCTTATTAAAGGGGTTTAGGTGACTAGGACTAGTTACAGAAACCCAAGGGGTTAATCTAAGATATTGGGGATGAGCAGGCCGGGGATATCTAAAATTTAATTAAATGTTATTGGCTCACTCTGGTCGTTAAGGGCTACGAGCTCTATGCAGGTGCATGAGTGGCACGTAATGATGGGAAGACACCCGCGGTGATTTATGTCTAAAGTTGAGTTTGGACATGCCGCTGGACGTCCCGGTAGAATCATTACTCATGATCTCTGTTGTGGTCAGTTGTCAGGTGTGAAACGCAGCGGGAGTACCGCGTGGTCGTACGTTAGCTCGAGCGGTGTATGACACGATCGTTAGCCCTGAGACAATGTGAAGATCTATAGCTGTCAATTATCAGGTGTGCAACGCATGGGTGCATAGTGACCGGTGTTATCTCGAACGTCGAGAGATGGGACGGAGCCCAACTCGGGTTCTATAGCTCTAGGGAAATGATAAGGGGGTGAGACTAACCTATATATGAGGAAGGGCGACTATGTTGAGGTCTCTTTTCTCTCTTTCTCTGACAGACACATAGGCTAGACACCATGGTCTAGGCCTCGGATGGTGGCAGCCTTATGGCTGGCCACTAAGGCTGGATTATTGTCCCAGCCGATGTTTTGTTGCTGTACATATGTGCTTCGTTCCAGATATTTACATATGTGACCTATGTTTATACATGAGGCCAATGTTGTACCAGTGGCCAAACGTCTGTCGTGTAGATATGTTGTTCGTTCCAGTGGCCATTATCTTTGTGGCCCGATGTTGTACCAGTGGCCAGATGTTTTATTCCAGTGGCTGGAAATCTTCCTGCTGTGTAGATATGTTCTTCGTTCCAGTGGCCATTATCTTTGTGGCCCGATGTTTGTACAAGTGGCTCAATGTTTTCTTCTAGTGGCTGGAAACTTCCTGCCGCTTGAGTGTCGAGCTAGATTGTTGTGAGTACTGATGAGTATTCATAGATGGACTTTAACCATGTTTATTAGTGGAATCAGAATTAGTGATGATAACATTTACCCGTGTGATCCTGGGATTACATAACAGTGCAAGTAGTAAAGTTAGAACTAGAGACGATGACATTTACGTTTTTGATTTTGAGATTACATAGCAGTACAAGTGAAATTAGGACTAGGAAGAATAACTTTGACAAGTGTGATTCTGAGATTACATAAGCAGTGCAAGTAGTTAAGTTAGGACTAGAGGAAAGGACATTCATATGTATAAATTCTGAGTTGTGTAAATGTAGGTTTGCTATCCACACTTATATATGTGTTTTCTATGAATTAATGTCAGTTACCACGGTGACTAATTCTGCATTGAAATGTAAGTTTGATTATTTTTGTCTTTTTGACTTGTATTAGAAATTCAAGGGATGTTTTCTTGAATATGAAAGACTGGCCAGGTCTTATTTGTATTGTGTCTTTGCTTTTAACATATAAACCTTTGTGACGTCAAACAAAGATAAATAAATGCATATTATGTGTGTTTACTATGTTTTATTTTTAGTTTAATATTGGGGTTGTATGGATTTTAATTAGTTTTGCTCAGGTCTTATTAGACCCCTTTGTCACCACGCAAAGGTGCACGGATGTGTGAATAAGATCACCTCTTCGGTTTAAACCCCCCTAACATTTGGTAGCAACGAGTGGGATCCGTGCTTGAGCAAACTAAATTAAGATTTTTTAAAATTGGTTTTTGAAATGTTGAGTATGTGTTGGTTTACCTCAGCATAATTTGTTATGTTATTGCCTTTTATTTGCATTTTTAACGTTTGGGATGTGTATAATAAGTCTAATTTACTGTAAGAATTTTTGTGTGATTACTGTTATTTTTTTGTGTTCTTGATGAACACATGGTGCTAATGTTACACATTTTATTAGCACTGACAGTACTATTTTTAGACCATTTTTTAAAGAAGAATTTGGGTAGACAGTTGACATGCAACCTTTGTAAGTTTTGACGGTGTTGAATTTTTTATTGGCAATTATGGTATTCGTTGAATAGTAATTATTGTAGATGAAACATGCTGTTACGTAATTTTATGACTGGGAAGACTTGGCTGATATTGGTACCAGATGTACATTATCAGGCCTTGTGGTATAAAATTATGTGTGACTGACTGATATTTATCTTTATTGATGGCCATTTATTTGTAGTCGAAAGGCGTGATTTGTCCATTTTGGTTAACTACCCTTTAAAGATAAGTACGTGTTTATACCTGGTTTCAGTAGATGTTCATTTTTGAGACATTTCAGTATGCTCATTGATGTTTTTGCCTTCAGTGGCCTTTACTGTAAATTAGAGGTATGTGTTGTGTCAGTAGGGGAACAGTAAAGTAGAATGTTTATCTCAATTAGTTGCCATGGTTAAGTTGATTGCGGGGACGCAATCATTTTTGCGGGGGAAGCGTGTTGGCTGGTACCAAATTGTTGATTCTTAAGTAAGCATGTTGGCTGGTAATATATTGTTTATTTTTAAGTAAAATGGTAACTTGGGTGCTTATTAAAGGGGTTTAGGTGACTAGGACTAGTTACAGAAACCCAAGGGGTTAATCTAAGATATTGGGGATGAGCAGGCCGGGGATATCTAAAATTTAATTAAATGTTATTGGCTCACTCTGGTCGTTAAGGGCTACGAGCTCTATGCAGGTGCATGAGTGGCACGTAATGATGGGAAGACACCCGCGGTGATTTATGTCTAAAGTTGAGTTTGGACATGCCGCTGGACGTCCCGGTAGAATCATTACTCATGATCTCTGTTGTGGTCAGTTGTCAGGTGTGAAACGCAGCGGGAGTACCGCGTGGTCGTACGTTAGCTCGAGCGGTGTATGACACGATCGTTAGCCCTGAGACAATGTGAAGATCTATAGCTGTCAATTATCAGGTGTGCAACGCATGGGTGCATAGTGACCGGTGTTATCTCGAACGTCGAGAGATGGGACGGAGCCCAACTCGGGTTCTATAGCTCTAGGGAAATGATAAGGGGGTGAGACTAACCTATATATGAGGAAGGGCGACTATGTTGAGGTCTCTTTTCTCTCTTTCTCTGACAGACACATAGGCTAGACACCATGGTCTAGGCCTCGGATGGTGGCAGCCTTATGGCTGGCCACTAAGGCTGGATTATTGTCCCAGCCGATGTTTTGTTGCTGTACATATGTGCTTCGTTCCAGATATTTACATATGTGACCTATGTTTATACATGAGGCCAATGTTGTACCAGTGGCCAAACGTCTGTCGTGTAGATATGTTGTTCGTTCCAGTGGCCATTATCTTTGTGGCCCGATGTTGTACCAGTGGCCAGATGTTTTATTCCAGTGGCTGGAAATCTTCCTGCTGTGTAGATATGTTCTTCGTTCCAGTGGCCATTATCTTTGTGGCCCGATGTTTGTACAAGTGGCTCAATGTTTTCTTCTAGTGGCTGGAAACTTCCTGCCGCTTGAGTGTCGAGCTAGATTGTTGTGAGTACTGATGAGTATTCATAGATGGACTTTAACCATGTTTATTAGTGGAATCAGAATTAGTGATGATAACATTTACCCGTGTGATCCTGGGATTACATAACAGTGCAAGTAGTAAAGTTAGAACTAGAGACGATGACATTTACGTTTTTGATTTTGAGATTACATAGCAGTACAAGTGAAATTAGGACTAGGAAGAATAACTTTGACAAGTGTGATTCTGAGATTACATAAGCAGTGCAAGTAGTTAAGTTAGGACTAGAGGAAAGGACATTCATATGTATAAATTCTGAGTTGTGTAAATGTAGGTTTGCTATCCACACTTATATATGTGTTTTCTATGAATTAATGTCAGTTACCACGGTGACTAATTCTGCATTGAAATGTAAGTTTGATTATTTTTGTCTTTTTGACTTGTATTAGAAATTCAAGGGATGTTTTCTTGAATATGAAAGACTGGCCAGGTCTTATTTGTATTGTGTCTTTGCTTTTAACATATAAACCTTTGTGACGTCAAACAAAGATAAATAAATGCATATTATGTGTGTTTACTATGTTTTATTTTTAGTTTAATATTGGGGTTGTATGGATTTTAATTAGTTTTGCTCAGGTCTTATTAGACCCCTTTGTCACCACGCAAAGGTGCACGGATGTGTGAATAAGATCACCTCTTCGGTTTAAACCCCCCTAACATTAATAAGCTGCTTTAAATTTTATAATTTGTTTTTTTATAACTTAATTGTACCATTTTTATTTCCAATAATGATAAATATAATTTAGTGTCATTTATATTTTAAAATATTTATATTATACTAGATATAATTTACTTCTATAATATTACTATCCAGGTTTAACAGTCTATGCCTACAACATAGATCTCCAGGACTAAAAGTGCACAAAATGGCAATCAGTATATCACAAGTGTTATAACACATGCATCTAATCTGCTTCAGTGGCGAGAACTGGGTGAATCCTCTCAAACATTAATCAGGTAAGTTATCACAAGTTTGCTTTGGTTTATTTTGAACATGTTGATTGAGATAGATTTTTATTTGTATAAATATTGTATTTAAAAAATATTTTACCTAGTAAAACCAAGTCAGTGGTGATGATTGATACAATATCATTATGTATTTTTTTAAATATTTGTTTTGCAAAATATGCTGATTTGCAGGAAGGATATATATATATATATATATATATATATATATATATATATATATATATATATATATATATATATATATAACATTATCATTTAGTGGTTTGTCTTACAAATTTGTATTATTTACTTAATCTGTCTTAACTGCTCAACAGGAACTAGGCATACCTAATGAGCGTCAAGCTGATACAGTAGATGTACATAAGAATTTTTACACAAGGTAAATATTGATAAATTTTAAGTTTTCTTTTTTTAAGGATACATGTAGTGTTTTGGGAGAAAGGAATTAAATTATTTAAATTAGGCCTAATAGTTTATTTCTCTAGCATATGTTTCACTTAAAATAACTTAAATTTTTCCCCCTTTATCACTAAAGCAAAATTTTATAGATATCTATGCCATGATTCATCTCATTCAATCACTTTTTTCTTGTTTTGTTTTGATGTATTAAACTAATTTAAACTAAAGATTTATTTTTTTTTGCTAATTTTATTATTTCAGATGGATGATTAAGAAAATCATTTTGTTTTGTTTCAGGAATTGAAAAGTGATGTAAAAGGCAACTAATACTTCCATCTACCATAGTTAAACAAGAATCTGAAAATGGTGATAATTGCAATAATCTTGATATATTAATGTTTGGCTTTATAATTATATGCAATTGTCAGGTTTCATAAATAAATTATTTCTCAAAATTTGATGTATTTGGTTTTCTTACTTAGTACATAAGATGCAAGTGATTGAAAGCTAAAGGGTTGTATGTAGTTATAGTATTCCCAGCACAAGTTGACATTAAAACAGCTGAAGCCCTTTAAAAAAAAAGAACAAAAAAAAATAAAATAATTTAGGAATGCTGTTTCTATTAGCTGAGCATATATTTGGAAAAGAACTTAATTGTTTACCAGAGAATACTGTGACCCAGTTTGTACTCCAGGCAAAAAGTGTCTATGGTTAATATTATTAAGTTAAAGAAAAGTATCAAACAAACAGGATAATATTAATAATAAAGACCTCCACACTAGAGAAGCATAGAATGAGTGTTGCATGGAATCCAAATCAACTTTGATGTTGCTAATTGCTACACTGGCCATAATTGGCTTACATTGACTTTTGCTGAGGTAGGCAACTGTTTTTGTTTAACTTTAGATGTCGACTAAATAAAGAAGAAAACTGACACGCCAATACCAAAATCAAAATAAAAAAAGTTCGTGGTTGCTAAACCGAGAAGTCCTGAGTTCAATCTCCCGTGTAGATGAGGCTCTATAGTTGGGGATAGCAACCTATCTTGGGGATACAACACTTGTTCTTGGATTGACAAAAGATAAGAAAAGAAATCCAGAAAGAAAAGCAGCTGAACGAAGAAGAAAAAGGCTGGATATATTCGGTATCAACTGTACAATTTTAACAGACACACATTTCAAACTACACATGCATTTCATGACAAAGTTCAGTGAAGCCATAATGTTGAGTTTGACTGAATGAAGAACGATATTGTTATTTCAAGCAAAGTTAAGGTTTATTGTCTTAAAGACATTGTCGTGGATTGATTTAGACTAAGACTTCCCTGTTAAATAAGCCGACAACGATGGCTCTTCTTGTTTCTCGTCTTTGATGTTGCTTTCAAGAACTTGTATGAGATTAGATTACCTACATAAGGCTACAAAGTTTGGAATCTTGGCTTTCTAATAGTGGACCTGACATTACCCCCACCCCGTCAATTACCCCCCCCCCCCCCCGGAGGAGACCCCCCTCCCGTATTTACCCCCCGGGGCAATTACCCCTTGTCAATAACCACCCTGGAGAATCCCCCCCCCCTCCCCGGCCTCAAGTTATGATCCTAACTCAAACTCTATACCTATGTATTTCCTTAATCCTAACCGATAAAAAAATGACCAAACCCTAAGCATTCACCTCAGCCTAAAACTTAACACATAACCAAAAACAACTCTAGACTTAGGTTTCAGCCTAAACTTGACCATAACACTAACCCTAATCCTAGCCTTAATCCTAACCCTGACCATAACACTAACTCTAATTCTGAACCTAACCCTAACCTTAGCCCGAACGCTAACCCTAACCTTAGCCCGAACGCTAACCCTAACTCTAGCCCTAACTCTAACCCTAGCCCTAACGCTAACCATAACCCTAACCTTAGCACGAACGCTAGCCCTAGCCCAAACTCTAACTCTAGCCCTAACTCTAACCCCAGCCCTAACGCTAACCCTAACCCTAGCCGTAACCCTAACCATAATCCTAACCTTGGCCAGAACGCTAACTCTAACCCTAGCCCTAACGCTAACCCTAACCCTAGCCGTAACCCTAACCCTAGCCGTAACCCTAACCATAACCCTAACCCCAGCTGTACCTTAAGAGGTGTGTCCGGGGGGGGGGGATGTCCTCCTTGGCGGGGGATAAATGACAGGGGATAATTGCTTCAGGGGGGGGGGGGGAGAGAACTAATAATCTGTAAGTCCTACTATTCAATACATTTGGTTAACACAATGTCGTCACACATGTAAAACAAAATAAGCAGTGTTTTTATTATTTGTATCCTTAAAAAATGCAAAATAAATGCTACGCCATTAACTCAACCCTCTTTTTTCTCGTTACATATCGTCACATAAAGCCACCGCCCAAAATGATGGTGACGTCATCATAAAGTGGTCATCCATTAACGACGACTCACTCTTCAGACGATTTTGCACCCAACCCCCCCCCCCCCCCCCCCTTCTCTAATTGTAACACATTTTCACAAAAAGCCAGATCTTCGCTCCCCCCCCACCACTCTCTTTAAAAACACCACTCCTCAACACATAACCCCCTCCGCCGTTCCCCTGAAACTGCATTTTTACTTTCTTGTATATACGAAGTATAGAGAAAGTCTTGTAATCGTGCAAAAATAAAATCGAGATTTTTTTTAACAAATCTCGACGTTTTACACCACACTGATACGGAAAAACAAAATTTTGCAATCTTGTCCGTATGTCTGTGTGTCTGTGTGTGTCTGTGTGTAAACACGATTACTTGAGTACCGTTACAGCTAGGTTGATGAAATTTCATATATAAGTATTTTATCAAAATCGTAGATCCGTATAAACTTTTGAGCGATTTCCGATAACCGAAAGTGGTACTTTTTCTACTTTGAATTTTTCAAAAGCCTATCACTTGAGTACTATTTCAGATAGATAAATGAAGTTTCACATGTAAGTAAAAGATCTAATTCTCTGCCTTCTGACACATTTTGAGTAATTTCCGTTGACAGGAAGTACTAATTTACGCTATTTCCGATTTCTCAAAAAACGCACGTAAATTTATAAAGTACTAATAATGTTGCGCACTATTATGCACATCTTTATTTGGCGTTCACTTGGTGTGCAATTCTTTTTTCTACGAGGTTTTATTCTATTTTAAAAAGTTTAAGTATTTAAAGTGGATTAAAAATCATGTCTATTTCCCGAGTTGCCATTCCCCGTAGTGTTATATTAGAATATTCGAGAAAGTTTAGGGGAGATCACTCCCGGTTTATTATAATATGTACTTACCTCGATAAACATTGAGTTAATAATTGAATTAATACCAAAAGCAACCTTTTAAAGCCCGAAATAACGGATGAAAGCAAAAATGTGTCGTCACACTTTCCGATCACCCCTTCCCATAAATGAAAAAAAAAGCCTGAACATACTAAAGGAGAGTATGGATGTTGATGGAGGATCCCAACGTTAAAAATTAAAACAGGGCAAAATTTCAGGAATCCATGTTACATATTATTATTTTCCTTAGGTATAACAAAAGTATTGACATTGTGTTTTATATTTTACGAGCCGCTATCATACACCGCTATTTAGTTGTTTCATTTTCTACTTTTCAGTAATTCATAATTTGTGAATTCGACAGTAACAATGCTGCCACTGAAAATATTTGCTTTAAAACACTATCACTAGCTCGTTAAGGACGATAACCTCCCCCTCCCCACCCTCCTTTCCCACAAACCCTACCCCCCCCCTCCCAGTGAAAGCAGCCCCCTCTGAGTTACCTCCACTAAGTTTAAAATCGTTTCAAACTAAATTATCTGCCCCTAATAGCTGTCAATAAACCCGGCTCTACGATTGTAAACATTTAGCTTGAACCACAGCTCACCAGACCATGTATGGATGGGGGTAGTAGAGATAGAGAGAAAGAGAGGGGGCTGCTAGGGGCGCTTACCGCTTGGTGTTTTCTATGGTAACCATGAAGAGAATTATTTATATAGAAGAAATATATATTAAACCAGCGTACCCGTCCCGCGCGTTGCTGCGGTCTCAGAAGACAGACTGACGCAATATTTTAAGAGGATTCCATAATTACATTAGCAAACACGTATTTTTTTTACGCTTGACATTGATTTCTAAATCTAAACAATTTAAATGTAATCAAAGCCGGTAATATATTGCTTTCATCATAGTTGTTGAGGCGCAAATTCTACCGCACACAGTAGCCCATTGTATCCATAATGTATCGCACTCTTTAAAACGAACGTAGGCGCAATACTGTTTATGAGGGACCCACACAGAGGCGCTAGACCACACGCCAGTGGTGCAGTAGACAAAAGTTTCCCTACTGTAGGGCGCTCTTTTAAAACTCATAGTGTTCCTCCCGAAGCCAGGGGCGCACCGGGTCAAACGAATTGTTATCGAATGTCGTGTGCTACAGAGTCAATATTGTAGAGTGCTCTTCAACACAACCTCAGGATATCCCAGGGCGCCAAATCGCATCCTGCCGGGGCGCCGGCAGACGCGCCTAATTCCATATAGTCAACAATTATTGTTGTCCATCGTGTCTTTAGTGTATAAATTAAAAAAAAAAAACGAACGAAGGCGTCATAGTGTTCACATGGTAGCACGGGGCGCTTCGGGTTACGTAATATCCGGGGCGCCGGCGGCTGCGCCTGTTGTTGCTTTTTTACCTTAGCCCCCATGCAGAAGGCTCAAGTTTTAATATCGCCGCCCTGGATTTTCGGGCGCCAAGCCCTTTATAAAAAAATCGCACCCTCCAGGGAAACGCCCATAATAAATTTTAATTTTTGTTTTCGCAGAAACCTTCTCGTGAGTGGTTTCATTAACTCTCGAAAGTTTAACGGCACTCAGATGAACGATGTCAAACAGCATCCGTTTTGTTTTTTACAAACTGTGTAGAGAAAAATTGCAACCTCCAGGAGCGCCGCCCTGTTAAAATAAAATAAAAGAATTTCTTACTGTAACCTCCCCTGAAGTTTTATGGCGAGCGGATGAACGGGATTAAACCGCAATCTACTTTTTCGTATATATACCCTATATAGGGAAGAATCGATTCGCGCCCTGCTGGGGCACCATGCTTGTGAAATATATCCAGTGGTATTCTTAAGTTGCATGGCCATAGGATGAAAGGTGTAGTGCTGCATAGAGGACAAAAACAAACCCACAAACAAACAAGCAAAACTTCATTATATATATACATAGAGAGAAATATACATAATTCTACATATGCATATATATATATATATATATATATATATATATATATATATATATATATATATATATAGCTACATTTGGTGACTTCCCATTTTCCCCAATGGCGTCAAATTTTGCACATAATCCACCTATTAATTCATGTGAAAAAAAGCATCGTTTTCATCGTAAATTATTAGATTTTGGTATCAGCCTCTCTCCGGTCGTCGCTTAGCAAATCTGTTATCCAAAAATTCAACAAGCATGTATTCACCTGTACATTTTGCCGTTTGTGTCATCTCCCTTCAACCCCCCCCCCCCTGGGTGATAGTTTTTAAACGTGCACAGTTAATTGTATATTTTTTTTATCTGCAGTCAGTTATTAGTACAGTTAACTCTCATTAGTCATTTATTGAACTGGCAAAATGCTTACTTCTTCTATATATTTTGCTATTTTTCGCCATGGTGTCACCCCCGAAATTTTGCCACCTTGCGCAGTCCTCAGCCCCGCCCCCCACCTTGTGACGCCTCTGGTTAGGGGTACTACTTGAGTACAGTAAATATGTATATATATATATATATATATATATATATATATATATATATATATATATATATATATATATATATTTATGGGGGGGGGTATAGCCCCTTGGCACACCTTGTACCTACGCCACTACATAAACATGTTCTTAAGATTATATAGCACATTCTATGTATAAATTCGATAAAAATAGCTATTACGTATTCTACAATTTTATATTTGTAATAACATATTGTAAACGAAATGAGTCTTAAATTCGATTACAAAATGGGCCTTTATATTATGTATTTTTTTTCTATTTTGCAATCATATCATGTATTACTTGTTGTATAGCCTAGATTCTATAATAATATACTAATATATTCTATATTACATAATCCTATATTATATCGTTTAGTAATCTCTACCCTAATGTTTTCTATACCGAATAATCAATATTCTGTAATTCTAATTGTGTATAAATTAATCATATAATCTCTAAAATTAATCATAACTATGATCACAATTAAATTCAGCAATCCACTGTATTAATTTATATTGCTAAAAATAATTTAATTTTCAATTTTAAAGACAGAAGATACATTTTTTATAATATTAATTATTATTAGCTCTGTAAAGTGAATGGTTGTTTAATTTTTCTTATATTAAATATTTTAAGCGATTAATTAATCGAAATGGTTTTATTCCGTTAACTAGTTTTTACAGTTTATAACTATAATTAGAGTCTCAACGACAGAATCAAATGAGAAAAAATCTATAGCGTTATTATATACCGACACTGTTGATAAGCCACTCAACGACAGTGTCGTTGAGAATAGTGTATGATCGGCTGCAATTACCTAAAAGTTTATTATATATTTTGGTTTAACGGTTAAATATTCGGAATCAATACTTAAATATCGTACAAGGTAATTTCTGTCGGTTGCTTAAAAAAAAAAAAACATCAATAAATGTAGATTTGAAATATACGTAGTGCATTAGTTAATACAACGGAATACCGCCAACCATTTTTAAAGTGTGAAGGTCTATGTTGGGCTCATAGTGAGAGTCGTTTTTAAGGTTCATTGTGAGGATCGCTCAAGAGTTTGTAGGAAGAGTCATTTTGGGGATCATTGTGATGATCGATTTTAAGGTTCATTGTGAGGATCAATTTAGGGTTCATTGTGAGGGTAGTTTAGGGTTCATTGTGAGGGTAGTGTAGGGTTCATTTTTAACGTTGATTTTTAGTGTTTATTGTTGTCGTTTTATGGTTCATTGTGAGGATAATGTTTAGGGTTCATTACGAGGATCGTTTTTTAGGGTTTATTGTGGGAATCGTTTGTAGGGTTCATTGTGAGGGTCTTTGTGGAGTCGTTATGAAAATCGTAGCTAGGGTGTATGTATGTTTTGTTATGCGAATGATTATAAGGGTAGTTTTAACGTTCATTGTCAGGGTCATTGTGTGAATCATTGTGTGAATTTGTTCAAGGTTTATCTTGAGTGTGTGTGTGTGAGAGTTGTGATAAGGGTGGTTGTGACTGTAGGTATGTGGATCGTTGTGAGGTTCACTGTGAGGTTCGTGATGAGGGCTGTTCTGAGGGTAGTCGAGAGTGTATGTTTTGAGGTTAATTCAAAGGGTCGTTATGATGACCTTTTTGAGGGTCAATGTGAAGGTCATTGTTGGGGTCATTATGTAGATCGTTATAAGCGTAGCTAGTTGTAATAGGGTCATTTTTTAGTTCATCAAATTAAACGTTCTAAGGGTCTTTGTATACGTCATAAGTGTTTTATTGTGATGGTTATTGTGAGGATCATTGTGTTTTAGTTGTAGAAGTTCTTGTTAAGGTCATTTTTAAGGTAATTTTAGGACCATTCAAAAGATCGAAGATTGCTGTGATTGTAGAATTACATATTTCACATCGAGGATCATAATTGAGAAGATAGATAAGCTTATCATATATGGTGGTTATAGCCGTTTTTTTTTATATTTTAAATAGTAAAGTAAAAATATCCATAACATAAAATTGTAACTATACCTTAACATAACCGTTAACTATTCATCGTCCTAATGTTTTGTTAAATGTTTTTGTAATTAAAATATTGATTAGTGAGTTGGCATTCAACATTGTCGCGAATTATCGGTCCATTCTTTTATAATGCGTTTATGCACTACCAGGTTTATAAAAATTCAAACTGACGTGAATACATCGACGTAATACTCCACTGAAGAAAGGCAGTCGATCAATAGAATTTTTAAGAGAATGAACTCACCGATATTTAAAACCCGACAGAAAATTCTTTTAACAAAGTCAACCATTTGACATAATTGTTCTAGGCTGAATTGTTGTTAAGTAACAATGCAGACTCTATTGACGTAAATAATTTATCAATAGCACGATACACGTGTATAAGTTAACTAGTTAGGTTTGGTTTAATCTGATGTGGTCTTAGATGTTTCAATGCAAATTCATTCCCACTTTGTGGTAAAACGTCTTCAAGAAAAAATATATACATTTTTCGGGGGGAATTTTTGTACCAGTGTCCGATATTGGAATCATCTTAATTAAAGGGGTGTAAGGTTACTGGTCGTTAAAAAAAACTAACATAAACACATGTCTTTCTAATGTCAATGCTAACCCTATCCCTAACCTCAACCCTAGTCCTACTCTACGCCTAATCCTAATTTCTAACCACAAAACGAGTCGAGTTACAATACAACTAACAACCTAACATATATGTTTTTGGACGAGTCTATTATCGCACATCAGTATCTTGAATAATCCCAAATTCCTTAACGCAAATTCAATTTTACTTTCTCGTATATACGAAGTGTAGAGAAAGCCTAGTAATCGTGCAAAAAAAAAAATCGAGATTTTTAGAAATCTCGACGTTTTACACCTCACTGATACGGAAAAACATAATTTTGCAATCTTGTCCGTATGTCTGTGTGTCTGTGTGTGTGTCTGTGTGTCTGTAAACACGATGACTTGAGTACCGTTACAGCTAGGTTGATAAAATTTCACATATAAGTATTATATCAAAATCGTAGATCCGTATCCACTTTTGCGCGATTTCCGATAACGGGAAATGTTACATTTTCTACTTTGAATTTTTCAAAAGCCTATAACTTAAGTACTATTTCAGATAGATAAATGAAATTTCACATGTAAGTAAAAGATCTAATTCTCTATCTTCTGTAAAATTTTGAAGAATTTCCTTTGACCGCAAGTAGTAATTTACGCTATTTCCGATTTCTCAAAAAAACGCATGTACATTTATAAAGTACTAATAATATTCCGCACTATTATGCATATTTTGTTTTGGCGTTCGCTTGGTGCGCAATTCTTTTTTCTACGAGATTCTATTTTTAAAAGGTTAAGTAATTAAAAATCATTTTTATATTCCGAATTGCCATCCCACGTAGTTCTATATAAGAATATTCGAGAAAGTTTAGGGGAGATCACTCCCGGTTTATTTAAGTTGTATATAATAAATTGTTAACGTAAACTTTTCAAACCATTCATCAATATTTTCATTAAAACTGTTCATTCTATTTTCCTAAATGGGGCTTGTGCTATCAATTTTTGTGGTCACCCTTTAAGTGATACAATCAAAAACCCTTCCCTGTCGATCGCTCACCATTCGTTAATAGAGACTCATGCTTGAGTAAAATGGCGCCTGTGTTGTTAATATTTCTTCTGTACATCACAACCATCTGTTTTGTGACTGAGGCTCTGTTCAACGCAGCGCTTTACAAACCAGCGTACATGAGTTCTGTTTATGTAGGCACTGCCTACAAGCCCAGTGCCGACCGTGCTAATGATGGGAACCTTGATGCCATATTTTCACACGGGTCATGCGCTCACTCAAGTGTCAACAATCCAGGTTGGTGGATGGTCGACTTGAATGGTCTTTACAGTGTGGAGCAGATTGTATTGGTCAACAGGTACGTTTGGTGACTTAGTCAATAGAATAGTTAATTGACTTAATCAATTACTCGTTAATTTAGACAAAGCGTACTGACTTGGTCAACAGGTGGGTTCATTAATTTGGTCAACAGGTGAGTTCGTTAATTTGGTCAAAAGGTGAGTTCATTAATTTGGTCAAAAGGTGAGTTCTTTAATTTGGTCAACAGGTGAGTTCATTAATTTGGTCAACAGGTGAGTTCGTTAATTTGGTCAAAAGGTGAGTTCATTTATTTGGTCAAAAGGTGAGTTCGTTAATTTGGTCAAAAGGTGAGTTCATTTATTTGGTCAAAAGGTGAGTTCATTTATTTGGTCAAAAGGTGAGTTCATTAATTTGGTCAAAAGGTGACTTCATTCATTTGGTCAAAAGGTGAGTTCATTAATTTGGTCAACAGGTGAGTTCATTCATTTGGTCAACAGGTGAGTTCGTTAATTTGGTCAAAAGGTGAGTTCATTTATTTGGTCAAAAGGTGAGTTCGTTAATTTGGTCAAAAGGTGAGTTCATTTATTTGGTCAGAAGGTGAGCTCGTTAATTTGGTCAAAAGGTGAGTTCATTTATTTGGTCAAAAGGTGAGTTCGTTAATTTGGTCTACAGGTAAATTCATTAATTTTGTCAACACGTAAATGTATACATTTGGTCAAAAGTTGAGTTCGTTAATATGGTAAACAGGTGAATTCATTAATTGTAAGTGTGTTTAGAAGTGTGTGTGTATTTGTGTGTATGTGTACGTTTGTGTGTGTTTGTGGGTGTGGGTGTGTTTGTGGTTGTGTGTATGTGCGTGTGCGTATGCGTGCGTGTGCTTGGGAGTTAGCGTGGGTGTGTTTGCGTATGCGTATGCGTGAAAGCGTGCTTGTGTGTGTGTATGTGTGTGTGGACATGGATGTTTATAATTACAATTGAACCCCAACGTGTGTCCCACAAACTCACAGCGCACTAATCATCAAGTCTTATAATGTGCTGCAGATGTCCATTCTGCTGATCACACAATCCCTTCATATTCCAATGTCACTGAAACCAGTGCACTCTACTTCTCAAACCCCATTGACTTAAATTACTTAGCATTTGCTATTTGCTCCTAAATATTAACTTATGATCCACGTGTAAGATACCAGAATTCAATATACTGGTCTTATAACACGAGATTAAACATAATTAAAAAAAAAATATATCATATTTGTGTTTGGTGTTGCTTACCAAGACAAATATCGCACTAAAGCTGCTTTTTAAATTTAAACATAATCTTCCTTTAATACACACACTATAAGGACCCAGTCTTTGTAGATATTAAGTAGGCAACGCCGTATCGTACACATCCGAATAAACAACATTTTTTGCATGGTCCTATATAATAAACGAGCACGACCAAATCCATTATTTCACAATAATTTAATTAACACTGTTTTCTACAGAGGGGATCAGTATAACGCATCAGCGACTACCAAAAACTTCCAATTCGATGTGTTTGAAACTGACCCAAGGTCATCTCCTGGTTTTCCGATGGAATCTGGCCAAGTTTGTTACGCAAGAGTGGACCCAGTAGGGCAGGGAGAGAAGTTTATACAAAACTGTACTTCACCAATTCTTGGGAGATTTGTCAGATATATCAGGTTTGTCTCTACATTTTTGCAATGGTTTCATAGTTAATAACGTCGGTGTATGTGAAATTTGTGTTAAATTTTAACTATTTAAAAGATTTAAAGGGGATGGTTTGGCCTGGAGGTAGAGCGCTATTTCGAAAAGACAATTACTGATAATCATTATACTTATAATACTGCCAATGTTATTGAAATAAAATTATTTTTCTAAAAAAAAAGCAAACCATCTGTAACTTATTTTTTATTATCTTAGCCTAATGTGTGATTCTTAAAGACAATATAAAAAATGTTTAGTTTATTTTTTCTTTTCGCTTTTATGCTTAGGGTACATGTGGCCGCCACAGAAAGTTATTTTTACTTTTGCGGTTATCTGGCAACTTTCTTGGCAATTTACCAATATATTATTGCTCTTGCCAGTTATTTTCCCAATGTAAATCGTTTTTATTAATCTATGTTGCTTACAGAGGCGTAGAGACCCTTCCCGGCGCCCGGGGACAAACTTTTCATTTGCACCCCACCCCCCTCATACTTTCGATTTGCACCCCCCCCCTCGAACTTTCCATTTGCACCTCCCCCTCAAACTTTCAATTTGGCGACCCCCCTAAGGTCGGCGCCCGGGGACATGTCCCCGCCCCCCCCCCCTCGCTACGCCTCAGGTTGCTTAGCAGTGGAATAGGTCAACTAAGGATATAATTTACTTAAAACAATATTTGAATTTTATAGTAGCCTCCCTTCAAAGTTATTGCGTATACGTAAAATAATTAAGTAAAAGAATGTTAACCTCCCCTTCTCCCTAGGGCTTCCCCGTTTTCTTTTACCCTGAGTCGTAAGGTTTAGCGCCACCCATGTGATACCATCTGATTTCATTCTTAAAACTCGCCCAACCAAGTGCCATCGTCTTTATAAAATTAATTTTAAACGAATAATTCTTTCACAGGTTTACAAATGACGCGCTAAGCTTCTGTGAAGTGCAAGTCTTGGCTAGTTATACGACCTACGTGATGAACAATTTCTCTTCAAGAAAGAATTCTATCCTGCAAGTGACCCCCGTCAGTACAACCTACACGATCAGCGACGTGGCCTGCACGTTACTGTGTCTACAGCGTCGTGACAGCGATACGTGCACCGCCGTCAACTGGGTTCGAACCACGAAACAGTGTCAGATGTTGAAGGTCGACCCACGAAGCATTCCCGCCCTCACTCCTAACTCCGATACTGACTTTTATATTGAAGCAAATTAAGAAACGGCTTCAGTGTTTATTTATATTTGAGAATTATAGATTGGCCTATAAAGGCGATAATTACAATCACCTAATAAATTACTAAAAATAATTTTTGTTTTCATGCCAAATGAAAACATCTGGTAAAACTAAGATCCATAACAGAAATTGAATTTGGCTCTTTTCAAAAATTATTTTCTTTTTTTTTTCTTTTTTTTTTAAGCCATTGTTTTTTTACAACATTAAAGAACGGTAACCGATGGAATGATGTATACAAACAGAATTAAGATAAATTACCTCCCCTGTAAGAATAATAAATCTAAACTATGTAACCTATTTGGTATAAAGTAGCGTATGTTTATTTATAAAGAAGGACACTACATGCAAAACCATTTTTAGCGCAATTTCCATTCTGGAGAATTGCGTTTATTAACTCGTCATTTCTGGGAATGGATGGATGAATGTATGGATGTATGAATGAATGGATGGATGAATGTGTGTCCGGGCTTTAAGTCGTATATCCTCCTCAACGAAGCAATATCGATGACTAGTTCCAAAAGCAATTATGTTAAGCAAGTTACGAGGATGAACATAGGCCATAAAAATTACGGGTTTCTTTCATGGATTTCCCAGAAAAGCAAAAAAACCTCGAAAAAAAAGCAGTTTTTTGCCCATATCTCGGCAACCAGACAACTTAGCGACTTGAAACATGTACCAATCGATTCCTGCCACAATTTAGAACAATATTGCCGAAGAAAGTTTTCAAAAATATCCTTTCGTTCGGTCACAAAATTTTTTTTGAATTAATTAAAATTTGGACCGAATTAGTAGGCATTTTTTCCAACCACACCACACGCGTCATCACGTTCAATAGCTGCGCCATCGCGTTCCATGGCTGCGCCATCACGTTCAGTAGGCGCGCAATGGGTTTTAGTCATGTAACTCTATTGTAAATAAAACATGTAAAATACTGAAAAAAATTAATAAAAAACGTTTTGATAACTAACCAATGGTTTTCCTAACCCTGCTCTTGATTTACGCTACGACAGAGCTATTTTTAGATAACATAAGGAAATTGCGCTAAAATTGTCACTAGACTTTTTAATTAACTTGTTTAATAAACGTATATTGAAACATTCAGTGTTTTTTTTTAGATATATCGATAATTTTACAAGGGTTTATATTGAGTAAAATGTATAGCCTTTAATATATATATATATATATATATATATATATATATATATATATATATATATATATATATATATATATATATATATATATATATATATATATATATATATAGTTATTGATTCAATTTTTATAAATATACAAGAAAATGCACTACAAAAAATATACCAAAAGTAATTTAAGTAAACAGTTTATTATCTTATAACATAAACACAATTGAAAAATTTTTTCGTGGTTTAGGCTAAGCTTCAAAATTGTTTAATCTTAACTTATAAGCATGGCTAATCAGTAGAGCTACACTGCTAACCCGAAAGTCTCGAGTTCGAATCCGGGTTGAAGTCAGTAGAACATCCCTGTTAGGGAAAATAAATATGGCTTAGCATAGTACTGAAAACACAAACCCTTCATATGCTGAATTCACAGATTCCGGAAAACTCTATTTGCCCCATTGCCCCATCATAAAATTGAGGTTCTAATTTTAAGAACAACATATTTTCTTTTTACATTAGATTATTACTAAAGTTTGTTAGTACCTGCAATAATGTCGCCATGTATATATGCATGTGATGTTCATGACAATATGACATCATTATTTAATAATTCTAAAAATAGAACTACAATTCATAACCTGTACTTGGTTGAATCGGTGAACGAACCAGCTTTTAATTAGCTTTAGCTTGGAAACGATCATATCGATCATGTACAGCTTTGGTTGAGAACACGGACTGTTGGATGTTGTACAATGTTCTTTAAGACAATATTTATATGAGAAACACGGAGGGGATCACTTGAAATTTGTCAAGGTGGGGCGGAGACAGACTAACTTTTTCAGGTGGGGGTGGGAAGGGACACTGGTTACAGTATATATTCCAAAGAAAATTATATACTTTTTCTATTTAGTTGTGGGTGGGTCGGGCTGAGGACTTGCTTTCCACCCCCCCCCCCCCCCGAAAAATTGACTTAAAGAAACTCTGATGTAGTTTATCAGCCTCTGTACCACTGAATATTTTATTAGATTTTTCAAAGCAACGGAGTTCTGTTGTTTTCAGTTCAACTTGAAAGCCAATACTGAAATCCATCGACTGCGCTATAGAAATATTTTTGAACTACTTTTTAACTATGGACAACGTAACAGTGATATCAAGTAACGTTGTCAATAGCATGAATGTAACGAGCCGTGGTAAAGATACGATTGGTTTGTTGTTAGTGCTGAACTCACACGGGAGGTGTACTTGCGCAGCTTCGTTGAGAATAACACGATGTTGATGCTGTTGTTGGCTGCATGAAAGATAAACACGAATTAAACTTATACTCTGAGTTTATTTTAGGCATTTGTTACAAGAGAGAGAGAGAGAACACTTACTCCCCCTACCACAACCACATAACGGAACACGTATAACACTCTCTCCTCCCACATAGTGAATATAAAAAAATAGAGAGCTATTATGAATGGTATATATATATATATATATATATATATATATATATATATATATATATATATATATATATATATATATATATATATATATATATATATATATATGACATTGTTATTTGAAATATTTGTGCGAATATGCTTACGATAATGTGATTTACGTTTACACATTCACTGTAGTTAATGTTTAACTTTATCGGACTAACTATTGATTTTCTTTCACAGAATCCGAAAGAAAGTTAATGTTTGTAGAACAATTCAAATATAAGAGACTTGGGAGACAACCTCCTTCTTTGGTACTTCAATAAATCACACAGCCCTTTGTTTAGCTGGGAGATATCATGTTATAAAAGTGAGAATATGTGATTAAATATGCATAGATTCATAATTTTTTGTTGTGGCGATCTGTCAGATCGATTTAGTGTTGAAGTATCAACGCGCTATGTTGAACGAAGAATAGGAAAAAATATTGTGACTGGTGTTTGATTTTTGTATTTTGACCAGCTATGCTGTATGAGAGGACTGCTACATGGTCAACGATCGGATGAACGGTGTCAACCCGCCATCAATTTTTATTTGTATATATTGTATATACCAGTGCGAATTTGATTTTTTTTCCCGCAGACACCTCCCCATGAGTATTCTCAACAACTCCGCAAAGTTTTATGGCGATCGGATGTAAGTTGTAGTAATGCATAGAAGACAGACAGACAGACACACATACACACATATACACACACATACTTTCATTCATATGTATAAAAATTATATATATATATATATATATATATATATATTTATATATATATATATATATATATATATATATATATATATATATATATATATATATATATATATATATATATATATATTATTCTGCGAAGTTATCTTCTGCATAATGTTTGGACCTACAGATTAAAAAAAAATCTATAGAAAATATTGCAGCACTTTATTATGTAACTCTATATTAGATTATTCATTCAATCAATTAAAATATAAAGCTGAAACATAACTGAGCACATGTTAATGTAATTCTCATAAAAAATGTGTACTGGAATTTTTAGTTACCTATTCTATCACATATTCTCACAGGTCCTATCTTCGTTCACCTATGTATTGGCTGTTTACTGAAATCTCATTATTATCCAATCATTCTGTAAACCTCTTTTTGGTTTGAGTTTCTACCATACAGCGATATGGGCAACCAAGCGTCGTTAAGACATTAATTAATTAGATCCTGCTCATGTTACTTTAGAACCACTGCTTCTGTTAAACAAGACTTTGTGGAACTTGTTGTTTCAAATGTAATTAAAATAGTCTGATTTTTAATTCACACATCTCCCAGGGACTAAACATATTCAGGCGTTAGACTTCTTAGTTCAATTGTTTACAATGCCAGTTCATTATCAGATTTTTTTAAACTGAAGACACATTTATGTATATTTACAAATACGTTTTGTCAAAATTTTCTACGACTAGAAATAAATTATTTATTTTAAACCACTGAATAAACATAATTTTTTGACGATTCGAGGATGAAGAATATCGAGACTAGCGTAAAGATTCTGGTGCATTTCTTCCTTTTCGTTCAAAAAGTTATGCAATGTAAGTATGTGTGGCATTGCTGTTTTATATTTGTTTTAAACAATTATTTAGCTTTCTTTTCAAAGTTAAAATAAATCTTTCTTTTTTGCGTTAAAAGGTAAATGTTACTGTAATTGTATGCATATCTATGAAAAAGTATGTTTTGCTTCTTTAATATCTGTACAGAATAGGATAGTGTTGTCACCATAATTTTATTTGCTTTCATTAGTAGTATTAGATTCAGATTTATATTACTGATTGTTGAACTCAATGCAGTCAAACGAGTTAGTCATCGAATGCTCAACATTTCGGCCATGCAGACCTATAATTTAGTTTAGATTTTAAATAATTGAATCTTATTTAACATTTTTATTTGTGTGTACATATTAAATATCTAAATATATTTTGCTTCGGTGACAGCAATAAAAAAAAACTTAAAAAATACAATAATAAATATTACATACCAATGACGAAGATCAGAAGAAAGCAGAAGAAGAAGAAGAATGGCGAAGATCAGTGAATTATTACTCTACTTTATTCAATTTAATTTTCTGTTTTTAAAGCTCTTATCATTTTGTTTCACATAATATTTTTTTTCCTCTTACCTCAACTGTAGCTGACCTCAACGCTGCAACAATCATGGACGGCCAGTTCCGTGTCAACAAAATCACCAACAGAACGATGACCGCCATACAAGCAGGGTTCACTTGCTCAAGTCTTCTGTCGTGTGCTGCAAGATGTGTGACCTTGACCCCCAACTGCAGAAGTTTCACATTTGACAAACAGAGCAGGACTTGCATTTTAG